TTGATCTATAACTCCCGGTTACCCCGCACAAAGTACTCTTCTAGTGGATAATGACGCTCTATGGCGCGCGCCTTCACTTAAAAGCTTCGACATTACAGAAGTCATTATTCGCCGTCATGTTCCATTATGTTCGTGGTTCTGCATTTCTCTCAACCCCCACCGTACGTACGTATGCGTGCCCTGTAATTTGGAATCTCGAGTTTCATCTCCCGGCGAAAGTTCTTCTTTTTCCACGGCTCATTTGCGGTGTGAATGCTGGCATCGAAGTTTTCCGGAGGCACTCAAAATTCCTCGCCAGAGACAAGTGGAGACGACTTGCTTGCTTGGCGATTTCCCAGCAATTTTCTTTACATTAAACGCAGCAAACACAGCACTGAATGCCTACATAACTGGAGTGTTCTTGCCTCTCACACTCAAACACATTTGGGTGCTTTCAAGCGGGGCAGGTGCTTGTATTGAGAAATGGCGGGAAAAAAACGTCCTCTGTGAATGGCACGATAAGAAAGTATGTGAATGAGTGGATACAAACACAATCAAGCCACTCCAAACGTATTAGCGACCCTGAGACCACCTGACGTCTGTAGGGCTACGATAAACCGAAAATGCTTCTTGGTACGGCGTTTTGCTGTTAAGCACCGACCTATGTTAGCGTTCACACGTTTAGGCTACTTAGTACTGTTAAGACTCATCCCCCCCCCACACACACACACACTCCACTAACGTCGTTCTGAGATTTATAAGTGCACGGCTACCCATCGCTGAGTAATGATCGCCGTGGCAGTTAACGTAAATTGGGTCGTCCTTCAAGGAAGGTCGGTTCGACTCCCGGAGGTTTAAACTACGGTACCTCATGCGTTAGTCCAAACTTCTTGTAACATTTACTCTTTTTTTTTACCTTCGCCAAGAAAGTTTCTCTCTATATTTAGATTGTGTGTTGGTCTTGATAAGACCTCAGAATGATTAAGTTTTGGCCCTCTGGCAGCATCTTGTAGTACTGCAGAGGAACTAATGGTTTTTATATTTTTTTCTTTGGACGACATGCTGTGGTGACGATTTTTTTTCATTTGTTTCTGAGAAAAGTATTTTATATTATTATAGTCAATGTGTTAACTGTGTATTATGGAGAAAGACAGTACACATGCATATGGAAGGGAGAAGACATTAAAAGAACACTCTCATGATCTCTACATAAGCCTGAAAAGTTTCCCCGTCTCCCCACGATATGGGTGCTTAAGATCCCACTTTGCGGTGAGACTCCAGCATCAGCGTTCCCCGGGCCGAACTAAGCCGGAAAGTAGCGGCAGGAATGACAGATTGAGATGTCTGAGACACACTCCGTCGACCCAGCAGACAAGATAGACGACCCTATATCACGTATGTAGTATCCACTCTATAGTCTTATTACACGTCCATTCCTTCTGGGGGCTGTAGCTCCGACATGCCTGCAGGAAATCTATCGATTCCATCTAATATTCCTCAACAGACGGTACATAATCTCCAAAGACAATGGGGGGATAAGAAAACTCTTCCCTTAGAGCACAGAAACTATCCAGCTTGAAGATACAGGTAGAATTTGACAGAAGTCTTATTGGTATCATAAATTTCCGACAGTATCGTTCCCTAAGTCTGATATCGATGTCTAACGTTGTTGGGTCCTGCGGGACCGGAGTGGGTAGATGTTTTACCGCGGTATTGTTTCTCTCTGCGGCCGGTACTTTGGCAAAGCCCTCACTTCAGTCAAATGGAAGCCACGAGATTAGATGTGTTTCCGGCAACAGTGCATGTACTAGGCCTGCCCCAGACCATACAAGCTCGCCTCATTTTTCTTCGCGTTCGCTTACCCATACTCAGGTCATCTACCTTTTAACTCTGACGTTAGAGGTTTTTTTACCTTCGAAATTGACAGGAAGGTTATGTTTTGGGCAACTTTGTGTGTGTGTGTGTGTGTGTGTGTGTGTGTGTATGTGTGTGTGTGTGTGTTTCTTTGTTTGCGTGTGTTTGTGTGTAGTTAAAATTGTAGCACGATTGTCATGGCATTTGGTAGATAGGTAGATCTTGATTAGCTTTTTGCCCCCTTTCGGCTTGATATGGTACTGCAGGTGAACTTAATATATCAGATTTTGGATGGTAGATAACTCTTGTGCTCAGGAAGAAGTGACGTAGGATTCGACCCCCTAGTAGCTTGTTATGGAACTGCAGGAGCGTTTGTTAATATTTTCTTTGGTTTTTACTGACTGCCATTCTTTTAACTATTGTGGAAAAAAGAAGCCCAATCAAGTCACTACCTAACCTCGCTACCTCTACCTCTAGGTTAGAAAAGAAGTCCAACTTCGTGAATGCTACAAAAGTATTCTTTGCCATGAACGTAGAAACACCGAGTTGAAAATAAAGCATTCATAAGAATCCAAACGGTTGTTACGTAGCCTCTATCAAAGAGTAGAAATTGGCCAGATAGAGAGATAACATGCCAGAGGAGTTGGTCCTCTAGACAGTACAGTTTGCCGCACCCCCGTTGTTACGAGCATACATTAGGGAATTGAAGTGGATGACTATGCACCTTTAGGAACCAAATAGTGACTACAGGCCAGAATGCAACAGAGCAATATGTCACGATTCATATTGATCGCAGTATATTTCTCCGTCCTATATCCGAATCCTCCGTATATCACAGCCAGCGAGCTCATGCTTCAATGACAGACATTGTCTTCTGACTGCAATATCCCGAGTCGGGATGCAATTTTAAAAGTTCTTTGGTTCTGCGATCGACATTATGTATTTTTCATGACCGGGCGTACAGCTACTGGCAATAGTTCTATGTCGTGTAGCGAACTTTGTATCTGTATCAGTATAGCCGGTATAACCGCCCTTCGGCGTAACACGCCAGCTCCGTAGGCACGCGGCGCGGCGGCAGCTAGCTATATTACACCGAACGACCTGTTACACCCAATCTTTGCACATTTAATTGCAGGAATTTTTAAAGCTTTCTAGTGATGATGCCCCAACTGAGCTTGAGTTCCACTCAACGATAGGAAAATACCAGTTTTTGAACACCTCAATTCTTGGTTGATAACTCTACTATTTTGAAGGCATGACTGTTCCTTGTTCTTTCCTGGGCTGGTATTAGGTACATGGTACGTCCACCAATTTGATCAGTCATTTTGTACATCATACATAGTCTGAACATTTTTCATCTGTTTTCCAGCGACACCCACTGTAGGTTTGGAACTTCGGAAGCGTTTCGTGATCTCTCTCAGTGTCAACGCCCGCTTTTCGTGTGCTGATTTTTATTAGTGAGCGTACGTACGTATACACGACTGCTCTTGGCACACATTGTGGTGCGAGAATGGATTATGAGATTGAGAATATTGGGCCCTCCGTCCACCTGTTTCACGGCGGTGCCTTTTATAGAGCCCGGCCTGTCCGCCCACACCAAAGCCGGGCTGTCAAACGCCACCGCACCGCCGTCTCGTAACGCCGTTTACCGGTAAGGCAGCGAGAATGCGCGTCCACAAAGGCACTTAAGTGGCATGATCCTCCATAAGAACCCCCACTCACAACCCCCCATCCTACCGGCTACAAAGACCGCACCACTCAAGCTAAGATAAACAGTTCTAAGAGAGACCCAGTAGTTGTATATATCAGAGGCGCATATGTCACCACAGTAATTCTCTACACTACTTTCCTCCAGGAGTTAGCAATAGCAATTGATCTGACAGCACTGCAATTTCATCGGAGATGTTTAGAGCTTTTAGGGACGGACCCAAGCGGATACTCAAGTGAAATTGTCCCTGCATTTTTTTCACGGACTACACGGGCTAACTTTCCTGAAACGAAAAAGAATGTTTCATATAACTGAGTGTGTACTTTTTTTGGGAGGGGGGGTCATGCACCGAGTTCAATTCATCCATGTAGTCCTAATAAATACTTTTTGGGATGTAATTTTGGTAAAGTAAACACGTCAACTTATCTGCTTCAACTTTCTACATTTTCTCTTGCATTTTATATCCCGTCATTTCCTACGTTGTCGGCCCATTCACACACTTGAGTCCCCACGTGGCAAGTCCGCACTTTATCTACGACGCATTTTACTTAAAAGCACTTGTAGCACATGTTTCCGAGATAACCACATTTTCCTTGAAAACACAGACCGTATGTACAACATAGCCCACCGGGGGCGCGTAAAACAACGCCGGTATCAATTGGGAACTCGCGTGCGTACATCGCCAAACCTCGTAGACGAAAAACGCCACGGCGCATTTACTCTCCGAATGACCCATCACTTAAATCTAGCCGAGTTAAAAACGGCACACGCGCTACTGCATGTAATGTCTTCCCTTGGAACAACACCCATTTCTGTGGCTATCAACTTTTCGGAGATCTTATGAAATATCTGCTTGTGTTTTTAATATTGACCCAATAACAGCCGTTCCCCAGTCCGAGTCCGTAGTCTCTAAATAATGAAAGAGATACTGCTCAACCATTCACCCTACAGGAGTCATTGGCGAAAGCCCGTGCTATTAGCGTTTCTATTCGTATTACGTTTCCCAGTCGATACATGTGTTCATTCATGTACAGCGTGACTCTAAGAATCTCTGGCTTCTGGTGTCTGTGTGATATACAGCGAGCCCTGCGCCACAAGTGTGCATGTAACACTAACACGGCCTCCCCCCGTACGGGACCTACTGTCGGTTGTTTACGGTTGACAGACAGCGAGAGTGTCCGCTTCGAACCACTGCCGTTTACGGGACCGGGCCACACCGCCATCCCGGGTCAAGCCAAAGTCAACATAGATTAGGAAAATTAATACATAGCAGGTGAATGAACATAAACATCCCGCCCGATGTCCTGTGTAACGTTGCCTGGTTATGACACACCCTGCGGTACACTTTACACCCGGGTACCCACCCTGTCCGCTACACCCGGCCATCTGCTACAAGTTGTAACGTTAGTGTGTGTATAGATAATAAAAAACAACACTGTACAACAAGATGTACACATACCTTCGCACGTTTTCCACGTTGAGGCGACCAGGGCAACACAAATCGTCAGAAAGCGCAGTCTTGTAGCCGTGTGCTGCCTCCCCACCATTCTTACCCTTGGAAGGGAAAATACGAAGGAGCGTTAGTTGACGGTCTTACATCCTCGTGACTGATCCTCTGTCTTATGACAGTCCATGCCCACACTCCTGAAGCCTCAACCTGTCGCGTAGACTAGTGAGTTCGCACCTAGCGGCACTCTAGGCGACGGTTTGCCTACCTCGGTAAGCCGGTACGCCGCCTGCCAGCGGAACCATCCCCGCCGGCGGGTATATAAAAACGTGCTACACGGTAGATGGTAGGGGATCAGCGCCCAAACACCCTACTTTCCCGGCAATTTCGTCTCCCCGAAGCTAGTGATCAAACAGGAGTTCATCCCGGGGATCAAGCGACGTGGTTAATTAGGACGATTCCGTGGAAGAGATCAGACCCAAACGTACGAGCCTCAGAAATGCAACGGTAGGCGGAGCGTCCTACACAAGTACACACCGAGCCAGTACTACGTACGAGACAAGCACAGAGAGACAAGCGTGCACGTTTTACCTTACTGGTGCCAGTAGAGTACGCTATATGTATATCAGTGGCTGCGCGCGGGCAGTGGTATTCCGCGGGGCGACTATTTCTGTCACTAAACCGTGTAGTGGTCCCCGACAGCGTTGTGTCCTCATAATATTACTACCCGCCCGTCAGCGGCGGACAACAACTGTTTCCACAGCCTCGGAAAGGTCACATATGCTACATACCTGTTTTTCATATTTAATGAGGCCAACACGTCAGCTTGCCTCGTATACGTCGGTCCCTAGTAGTACAGTCACGGGAAGGGCCACCAGACAGAAAATGATCCATAAAGACTCCGTAACGTAACGCCGCTCTTACCGTGACGAACTGTCCCTCCCTCCGGCTGGTCAGACCACGAGTGGCCGGGGACTATCGTCTGCAGGACCCGCTGACTCTCAGAGAAGCGTGCGGGCACTTGGCGACGCTCTCATCGACATGAAAGCAATGCAGCGGTCGTTCATCTATTATTTAGAAGCCGGAGAAAGATTGGCTATGACTATTTAATTGTCTTTCATTGTTCTCGTACCGAATTTGTTCTGTTCCGGAGATTCACCTATGGCGTGAGAGTGTCACCAAGGACAACAGCGCAGGTACCAATCACCATGGCAACGCCTTATTTACATAATCACACCGTCAAACGACGGGATGAAAGAGGGAGATTGACAAAATCTATCTATTATCTGGCATCTCCTAATTTTTCAAGCGTGCTGAGTCTATGGGAATGTGTATGGATTTTCCGATCACATAGGAGGGTAATCAAGGGGAGAAAGTATCGGTGTAAAACGGGATGGCACGGCCAATATCATTCGAACCATCCCCCTTTCGGGGTCCATAGACAAAAAAAAAACAAGTGCACAGAGCAAAGATATGAATAACCCTGCCCTTCCGTTAGTAGAATCTTGTCAGGAATAAGAAAACTTAGAATTCACGAATGATAGCTGACCATGTAGTTTGTTTGACAAGCTCAGCCCAAAACACACACACGGTGACACACCCACAAGAAGATATTTCGTAATTAACCTTCTCCCTGCTGCCTAACCCAGTAACCAACACAAAGTCGACGCCAAATGGCTACCTCAGCAGACTGAGGGTTATGTATATACGAAATAATGGCGACTGCGCCAGATGTTGACGAACGGCACTTCTAATACCAGCTACGTCAGTTTTTATCGGTTTATAGATTCAAATATATCCTAGGATAACGCTCGACGTTAATAGATGCCTTGGCAAACCTTATAACCGTTTTGAGAAGTGCCCCGTCACTAATAATATCCAATTGATGGAATAAGTCTCCGGAAAATAAGGTAAGTACTTGGATTTTGACAAGGACCAATATCTGCATTGATTGCCTTTCAAGTGGACTTTGAAGACATATGTATCAGTATAGGGAGGGCGGTGTCACTCACATAATGTACTGTCGTCTCTTCTTTTCTTTTCTGTTCTTTTCTTTTCTTATATACAATCTCTACAAATTACGTTGTCCAGGATTTTAACAAGCTGCTAGGGATCCCCAAATCTAACCACTTCGAGGTCCCCTCAAGACCTACCCACCTACCAAGTTTCACGACAATCCATCCAAAGCTTCTTGAGTTATCGTGCTAATCACCCACAAACCCTACCAAAAATATAACTTTGGCGAACGTAATAATAACGTTACCACCACAGCAGACGTCCTTACCGTGTACATGCTACTAGGAGATTACAAGATAAAAGGCACCCCGGATGTTGCAGGCGAGTCATGTTGGCAACTCGGCACAGAGTCAACATATTTACTATTCCACCACATGTCCTGCTCCGAAAGATCGATATGGTCATTCTACAGTGGTGTCCATTGAAACATCGAATGTTCCGGATACATACTCTAACAAGATTACCTAGGCTCAGAACTGTTTGATCGAACATGACACACACCCCTTTGACAATACCTACAGTATTTCGAACATCACGTGTTACGGATATATTTATATATATCCGTTTCCGTACCTGCACAGGTGTATGTATTCCCCGTGGGACACCTGTGCCATGTGTATAAAAATGGCGTGACCTTTCCGGATCATTTGCTGCAAACGAGCACAGACATAACTCCTGATATTGTAGAGGCTCCCGAAACAGGTGCTTTTTCCCGTATGCATGACCGGAGGCGCTATACGTGCAAGGCAGTGGCTACCTTGGGGAATATCACTGCATGTCCCCATAGGAGTGTAAAAGGTCTCTCTCTCTCTAGCTCTGGTACGGTTAGCAATCAATCGTTTTGCCAGGGAAATATACACGAATAATCACGCTACGGTAAAACGATTTATCACACCAACGTTAACCATCAGAACTGCTGGGCCGTATCGTTTTATATACACAGCAAATAGATTGGACTGGGAACATCAAACGCCACAGTCTGGCTGAAGGAAATATACACAAAGCTGGGAAGGACTCCTCTGTGGGAATTTTTTTACAAANACGTAATACCTTGACCTCAAACATCCAAAGGATGACCACATCAAAACTTTTATAAAATCATTAAATTTGTCAAATGGCTTTGATGTTATCCCCCTGTATTTACCAGATCCCATATTGGATAGGTTACCAGTAATTGGGTTATCATCTTTGCTGGTTGGACACACATGTACCATTTGGCCCAGATATACACATCGACCACATCATCCTAAATGGCACAAATGTTATACGTCAAACTCAGATCCCCTTAGATTATATGGATTAAGATTGTCAACCTCACTTCATCCTGACTGAAGCCTAAGCTAACAGTAAAACAATGAATTGCAAGAAAGCAGTTACGTACAAGAACAATTTTACTATCTGCCCTTCTTTATGCTATTTTGTAAGTTCCAGGCAGCCTAGCTACATGTAGATACAAGTAGTGTTAGAAGTTCTGTCTGCTGTAGGCTACAGTCCCAGCCAAGTTGGCACTCATCACTGTTTGTTTAACTATGTTTAGATCCAGGAAACCTTGACAGGGATTCCTTCCCTGAGGCTGACGCTACCCAGGGTATAAACTCAAGCTTAAACACTTGCTACTGAGTCCTGTGTTATATTGCATATACAGTGACATACTTATTGCAGACTGGCTGTGATGTTCATTGTGATGTCAGTATGACTGACTATCATTAAAGTCTGTGGTCAAGTTATATAGCAGTGATGGTTATACAAGTATTATAAATGGCAAAATGTTTATCGTCAAATGAAGTTTTAGTTACTTTTCTTATCCAAAAATCAAACTTGTTTCTGTATGCTATTGTACTACTGTAGTATGTTGCTTAGATCTTGAAGTGGGACCAAAAGACTACTGTAGTACATAGACCCAGTGGCATAAAACTATGCATATTTGTCATTTGTTATGACTAAATAAATAAATGATTGATAACACCTTTACATCCTCTGTTAAGCTGACCCAAAGCCTGTACAGACATACTCAACAGAGACTTTCCCCAAGCTGATTGTGGAATTTTCTAATAACATTGCAGACTTGGCAACTAGCCTGCTTCAGGGGGGGTTAAGTTTAAACTGCCTTGACAGAGTCTGTGTCTAGTTTTTTGTCAACTTACATGTATGATCAGCAAGAATTTCAGGCTCTCCACAATTTTACAACAATGATATAGTGTAATTAACTGATGAGTACAGCATAAACCATAGAGGTAGAATTGGAGCTTCATACAACCTCCTTGCATAACTCAAACATAATGCATCCCACAATAATCTTTCTTATGTTGGCATATTACATATTTCAATAATAAAGTTTGTCTTTGGCCTAGATAAGTTGACTGCAAACCTTTTGGAACCTACACAATGATTAATTATTTAGGACCACCTTGGAAGAACCTTTATTGAATTACAGCACGACACAAGTAATTATAGATGGTTACTGAACTTGACTGCCGCAAAATGCCTGTGAAAATCTGAGTCTCTTTGATCTCAATAAACATGACACCGCAACAACTGCGGCTTTATAACCCCATAGCTATGAGGTCAAACAAGACAACTGCAGTGACTAGGGTGAAGTTGGGAGGGGAAAAAGGCCAAGTATATGATACACACATACCTGCTGGGCTACAGGCTCCAAGATGCTTTCAATGGTCCTCGTGTGAAACACCGGCATGGTGACAAATATACCGTTATCCCTCCCGGTCTCACCTCCACAATACTCCTCTCGGCAACTTCCTTCGTTTTCTGGAAGAGGTAGGAAATGTGTCGGTATGAGTCAACATGCGGCCCCCGCACTCTCCTATGTGTACAGGACAGCCTCCACAAACGCTGACCTGCGATCTGTTTCAGGGCCGCCCCGAGGTGTCCATTTCACAAACAGCAAAAATTAGATCAAGGCCGGCAAATAAACTGTGACCAATCAATTTTCCGGTCAAAGAAATCGTGGTTATTAAAGATTTCACGCCTCCAAGTGTCGTGGTGAACAGTTTATCGTCTCCACGATCGAGTTAACGAAGGTTTTCGTATTTATTTTGCTGGTCGTGAAACCTACACGTTGAGAGAAGTGCCGCATTCCTGTCATTGCTGAGATGGTTTATTTCGGCACAGGAAAAGGGGAGGTCCAAGATTTATAAATTCTGTTTCTTCATTCCGATACCCGTTTGTTTTCACATATGACGATATCTATATCAAGAGAAGGGTATTTTAAAACTAGAAGTTGGAAAATGGCTGCAGATAAGCAATAAGTGACATTGTTTACAGATCAACTCGATAGCGACACGCCCTCCAATTTGAGACCAAGTGAAAAGGTCCACCCCGGAAGGGTGAAAGTTATCATCACAGCTTGACGCGTGAGAAATATCACGTATTCTAAACATCAGACACCGTTTCACACCTCGATTTTGTCCTCGACTGCCGTGAATGATACAGTGACTTCAGTAAAGAAAGACCTAGCGAACGTGTAAAATGGGGAAACCCTAAAAGCAAAACATTTCGATCTCGAGTCTGCGTCGACGCCCGCAGGATTCTAGCGCCACA